CCTGCGCTATCTATACAATCATACCAAAGCTGCAATTAAAAAACAACTCAAACAACCTGGGGGGTTTGCCGACCTCGCGGGGGGGTCCGCGCCGACGGGGAAGTACGCAGAACTGTTGCTCGAGATATGGCGACAACAGAAATCGCTCAAGGAATATAAAGCAGCAGCGGCCGCGCGATGCCGCGCCGCGGGCGCGGGGAGCGCGGACTTGGAGGAGCAGAAAGTGACGATCGCCGTGACGTCGTCGGGCATATTCGCGGACTCAGAAGAGGTGCGCCCGCCGCTCTTTCTCCCCGTGTGGATTTAACCCGTGGACGCGTACGCGTAGGGAGACTGGATGCACGAAGTCTGCCATGTAATCTTCGACGCGGCCATCTTATTCGCCGGAAAGCCGTGCTCCCGCGCCGACGTCGAGCGCAAGTTCACGAAACTCGTCACCAATGTCTACCACCAGCGGGCTATTGACACCATCAAGTCTCACTTCGACGGCGCGTACCATGTGGTCGCTGGCCTCGCGCGCCTTCCCCGCGCGCTGCTGACTTCGCAGAGAACCCACCATGCGGAGATCAAGGCCTTCGTCATCGACAAGATCGAGAACCCGCTGTCCCGCGTGGACATCATCGTGAGCCGCAGGTGCTGCCACGGCATCCCTCCGGACGAGGGCCCCATGATGGGGTGCAGCGGCCTCTTCCACGCGCTCCCCAACACCACTGTCCGGGACGACGCCATCCTCGCCATCTATTTCGCGTTCCCCGGCGCGTGCCCCGACCAGCGCGCGACGGTCGTGACATCGTGCTTCTAAATCGCCTAGCGCCCGCGCGCGCGCGGCGACCGCTCGCCATGGCCGACTCGGAAGACGAATCAAGCGCGGAGTTTACTGATCCACGCGAAGACGCCGTCGAAGGAGCCGCCGGGCCACACGCCCGCGGGGCGCACGCTGCGCGGCGCGTCGGAGGCCGCGATTTTGAGGGGATCCGCGCGAATCGCCTTGAGGAAGCGATCGCAGCCCCGCGCGTCGCCGGCCGCGCAGGCGTGCGAGCACGGAACTCGGCTAATGAGCATGATCATCTCGAACGGTCGGTCCGGCTCGTGATAGTAACGGACGCAGAAGAAGAAGAGCCCGAAAACCATGGCCTTCATCTCCGCGTGCGACCGAGACCGTTTGGTGGCAACCACCTCGCGCCGGGCCTCCTGGACCGTGAAGCCGCAGTCGAGAAGCCGGTTTCCGAGGCGTCCGACGATGCGGCAGATGATGTCTCTTTTGGCCGTGAGGAACCGCCTCGTCTTCGGGTCGTGGACCGTCTCGACGAGTTCCGCGAGCCACGCCATCGCGCACGCGACTTTGTTGTCCTCCTCGAAGAACTCGTCGGTCAGCGTAAAGGCCAGCAGGCGGAAGACGACGTCGACGACGGACGACTGGAAGCAGACCCGGAGGGACCGGTAGTGCTTGTTCTGGCTCGTGAGCACCAGCGTGAGGTCGCGGTGCAGGTCGGGGACCTTTTTCAGGCCTCGCAGAGCGTCGTCACGTTTTCGCTTCTCGACGGGGGCGCTCGCGGCGTTGCTAAAAAAAGCCGCCGAGCTTGGCGACGAGCGGATGGTCCGCGTCCAGCACGTGAGGCGCGGCCGGCGCGTCCAGCGTCGGGACGGCGAGCGCGACGAGCGCGGCCGAGGCCGAGGCCTCCTCGGCGCGCGCGGCGGCGCAGCGGCCGCAGAAAAAGGCGCCGTCTGGGACCGTCTCGGAGGTGAGGTCCACGCAACCGAAGTGGAACCAGCGGTCGCAGTCCTCGCACTGGATCATGAGCGGCGTGTCCCGGAGGGCGCACGCGCCGCAGTGGAAGTCGTCGCCGTCGTCGGCGTCGTCGGCGCCGGCGGGCGCGGCGCCGGCGGGCGCGGCGCCGGCGGCTTCGTCTTTGGAGACGTCGTTGGAGGCGTCGTCGGCGGACGCGTCGGACGCGTCGTCGTCGTCGTCGCCCTCGGCGTAGGAGATCTGCTTGCGCGACTGGCCCGAAGACCGCCGCGGCGCGACGGGCGCGCCTTCGTCGTCGGACGCGTCGTCGTCTTTGGAGACTCGCTGCTTTTTCGACGTCCGTTGGCGTCGATTCGCCGCTCGATCGCGCTTCGCCGAGTCCTTCAGAGACTTGGCGACGCGCTCGGCCTTGGCGGCCTGGTCCGCCGCGGACATGTGCTCGAAGGCGCGGATGTCCGCGTCGGTGGGGGGATTGATCGCGGGGAAGTTCGCCTTGTCAGCGAACATCGACGGCACGGCCTCGCGCCAGAAGCGGTCCTGGGCGTGCGCTGCCAGTTGCTCTTCGTCATAGTTGCCGAGCCCTTTTCGACGTTTCAAGCCGACCTTGCTCGCTGTTACAAAGACTGTCCAGTGGCGGTGGTAATTATTCCAGCTGACGTTCATGTACTGCGACGACATCTCCGGCTTCGACTGGAGGACGCCGCCGATGTCGGCGTTCGTCGCGCGGCAATG